CTCTCTCTCTCTCTCTCTCTCTCTCTCTCTTTTCCCATCCCTCCCTCCCAACCTATGTCCCTCCCTCTGTCACTTGTCCCTCGGGTTCCTTCCTCCGGCCCTCACTCCCTCCATCCGTACCTCCCTCTGCACCTCCCTCACTTCATCCCTCTTTCCCTTATCCGTCCCTCACTCCCTACATCCCTCTTCCTCATCCGTTACCCCTTCTCCGTCAGTCCCCCCTCCCTCCCTAGTCCGTCCCTCGCTCCCTCCGTCCCTCTCCCTCGTCGGTCCTCCCCTTCTCCCTCAGTCCTCCCTCCCTCCCTACTCTGTCCCCCCTTCCCTAAATTCATGTCTCCCTCCCTAATCCATACCTCCATCCCTAATCTATTCGTCCATTTCTAATCTGTCCGTCCATCCCTAATCCCTCCATCCATCCATCCATCCATCCGCCCATCCATCCATCCGCCCATCCATCCATCCGTCTGTCCATTCATCCATTTGTCCATTCGTCCATCCCTCCGTCCCTCCGCACCTCCATGCCTCCCTCAGTCCGTCAGACCCTCACTGACTTCGTCCCTCTTTCCCTTCACCCCTCTAAGTTCCGTCCTTCCCTCCCTCCACCCCTGCACCCCTCCATCCCTCCGTCCGTCCCTCTGTCCCTCCCTACGTCTACCGTTCGACTTTCTGTTCGTCCATCCGTCCCTCTGTCCTTCCCTCTGTCCATCCGCCCGTCAGTCCGTCCCCCGATCCCCCTGTCCCCCCGTTCCTCCGACACGCTGTCCCTCCCCCCATCCCTCCTTAGGCCCCTCTGCCTGTATGTTGATCCTTCCGTTTGTCCCTCACTTCAAACATCCTTCCGTCTGTCCCTCCGTAACTCCCTCCATCCGTCCTCCCATCTCTCTGACTATCCGTCCAATCTAGTCTATCTATCTGTCCTATCTAATCTGATCCATCCATCCAATCTTATATTATACAAGTATATACCCAGTACGGTTTCGTCCGCACACATGGACATGTCAACGAGATATTCGGGGTCTACATAAGTATCCATCTACACATCTGCCCCCCCCCCGGTCCCCCCCC